TCATTTCTGTCAGCTCTTCTGAAGCCATCGGAGGTCATTATGACTGCAGATCAATTCACTCTGACCATGTAAGGAATAATTGACCACGGAGCACTGAATTACGGAAAATGTTTGATAAACGCCTTGGAACGTCTGTCAGCTAAATAGAATCAAGAATTCAACAATGTCATGAAGCCATAAAGGAGATTAAAGCATCATTTAGATGTGAGAAGATCTGTGCTGCATATAGAGTAAGTGAAATGCAATGAAGTGCCGGAGGCGACCATCAACTTTGACCTACTTCTTAAGGTTTTCATTGTGCTTTGGTTTAGAGGACGTCTGTAGCCATCTGTACTAACCTTAAAACCCATCTTAAATTCAGACTTTTTTGAGATGGCCAGAAAAAAAAGAGGTACTTCTTATCTAACTGACACTGAAAGAGCATTTGCTTGATGCCATCACTATTTCCCAGGTCTGGTATTGATTTTAAACGCTAGATCAACATTGCCCCCTAGTGTCCACTTCTGGTCATTATCAATGCTTCTCTAAACTGACCGTGCAATCCAGCATTCAATTTATTACATTTCATTGTCAGTTTTGGCAATAGCAGCATAATAGCTTGAATCTTACTAACCAAGTCCAAGTCACATCATATCCTAAAATTAAATGTATTTTGCATAAAGAAAATGAAGCCTACATTTATTGTTAACTGTAGCCTAGTCTTATTTTTGTAATATATTTTTGGACATTTATTTATGTATTTTGTATTGAGTTATTTAACTACGAATAAATATTTATAGATATGCATGAGCATTTATTTGAAAAAAAAAGAAAAGTTGAAGATGAAATTGAATTGTCATGAAAATAATGTCACAATGCAAAAAAAGGTATTGTTGCCCTTTTAAGTGTAGTTTATATAGCTGCTAAAACTAAATCAGGTCTTGAGTGATTTCTGACCTCTATTTCTAAAATGGAACTACAACTATATTGAATTGCAGTTTACAGATGTCTTTACTCTCTCTGGGTCAGTTCTTTTGTTTTACAGTAATGCTGCATGGATAAGCCCCCTCACTTCCCTGTCAAACTGAAAGCATCACTCAAGCGCACAACTTACTTTGACATTGATTTTCTTCTTGGGCTTTCAGACATAATGGGCATCTCTCTGACTGAACAATGAAAATCAATAGTGCCGTCTGAAGCTGCTGGATGTGATCAGTGCTTCTCACACAGACTTTTGAAGCTTCAGTGACAGGTTTGTTATGTTTCAGGGCAGGTATTGTAAGAATACTGTCAAATAATTTCTATTATTGTGATTTTAAGCACTTAAATCAGTAGATATATTAAATATTATCATTTTAATTCTGCTGGCAATACTAAAAATAAATATTGTCTAGTTTTTAATCTAGCATACACTGCATAAAGTGTCTTTGCTGAGCAAATTAAAGTTAGCTCATGTGTTAATAGCAATAATAATAATTGCTCAAATTGTCATTGAAATCTGTGTGTGTGTGTGTGTGTGTGTGTGTGTGTGTGTGTGTGTAAGTGTATAAAACATGCAGCTTCTGCAAAAACATAAAAGATACAGCTTCTGCCTGCAAAACCAATCTGCTGAAATACTTGCCCCTGTTTGCTGTTTGTTTGTATCTTGATGTCTCATTTGGTTGGAAGCTCAAGCTCCAGATGATCACTCTGTAATTTGGGGTTTCCACTTAGAGAGGTTTCATAAAATGCTGTTATGTAACAGATGTAAGTAGGCCTTTCTGAAGAGAATAAACCGAACAAGTGACTCAGAGATGACTGCACACACTATTCACCCTCCAGTGACAGATATTTTACTTATTAACGCGCAGGAGCTTGTAAACAAAAGAGGAGGCCTAAATTCTTCCATACTGTTACATAAATGGTTTCTATGGCTGTTATGCAATCAAAATGGAGAAAATATAAATACATAAATGTGGATGTGATCAATGACTTACACTCTGTGTTGGATAAAACTTCACAGACGAGCAAACACGAATACAGACAAATTGTCTCAATTTCTTAACCAAGTTACTTAAATCACAATAATATATTATTTGATTATTATATTTAGTATTTACAATGTGTTTGCAATGCATGGCTAACAACTGATAACGGAATTCTCTGCATTGCCGCCATATTGAATTGAACACAAACGAAAATGCGGCTGTGAGCGATTAGACGTACAGCATTTACAGTGGCATGCACACTAAAATAGTCTTTAAAAACTTTAAAAACTATGGAGTTTTTGTCTAATTAAGTTATTTCTTCAGAAAGACGTTCCCACAGCTGAACAAGAACAGTACAATCAACGAACAATCCTATCAAAAATTAAATATGGCGCTGCACTGACTAAAGTCTACATTAGCATACACTCTAAAAAATGCTGGGTTGTTTCAACCCAACTTTGGGTCAAATATGGACTAACCCAACTTTTGGGTTAAAAATTTAAAGTAAAAATGTAACCCAATGGTTGGGTTAGTCCATATTTGACCCAAAGATGGGTTGAAACAACCCAGCATTTTTTAGAGTGTAATATGTAAATTAGCGTTGGGCAGTAACTAGTTTCTAGTAACTAGTTACAGTAGGCTAGTGTAACTAATTACTAATAAGATTTCAGTAATAATATTACAGTTACCATCCATAAAACAGCTCGTTACTTGTTACTTCTGATGCCTCAACACCTACTGATTTGAAATCCAACAATCCAATAATTCCTAGATTTGTTTTCATAATTTCATGACTCACACAGACAAATGAGGCAAGCTTGGAATATGGAAAAGCTTACATTCAGCGGATGGAAATATTGCCATTATACTGATTTAGTCAGGAGAAAATATGATCTGAATACCGATGTGCAAGTTGTGGCATTACTTTATTCTTGCATTACAAGGCTTGCCCACCCACATCCCTCTGACCCCCATATACATTGTATAATGTATACTGTAAAATCTTACAAACTTATGTGATTTATTTTAATAAAATACATCATGAAATAGAATCGTATATGCATAACAGAGAAATTATAGCTACAATTAGCTTCAAGCAACACATGACAATTAATGCAACACTTTTACTTAAAAGTCACTATTAAAACCACAATTGAGCGTTTGTAATCATTTCTGACTGCGATCCAGTGTGGATTTTGGTGAAATGATGAGGTGGAAATATATTGTTAGTAACATTTTAGAAGAATTTTATGGGGAAGATACACAATTACAAGTTCTGTGGGGACATGAAGGAAAAGTAATGTAACTAGTAGTGTAAGTAATTACCGTTGCCAGAAAGTAATAACATTACTTTTGAAAAAAGTAACTAGTAACGAGTGATAAATTTCATTTTTGGAGTAACAAGCCCAACACTGAAATTATTGATGTATTTGTAAGAATTTTTTTTTGTTTGTTTTATTGGTTTCTGTGCATCTCGTGTTCAATACAGTCTAATCCAAAATTATATCTGGGAAGTCCACAAGGTTTCATAATGAAGGAATGGGTTAAGACTGATTATCTGCAGTTCAGCAGCGACCTCTGCTGGTGGCATGAGACATGAACATAACAGCAGCGTTTGTGTTTGCAAACTAGCTGTTAAAATGTTCAGTATGGACTTAAAATAAAAATGATTGTTAAGCAGTACCATTTTGTCATCAACTATAAATACTTTTACCAGGCACGTCTAGTGCATGATTGATTAAATAATTAAGAAATATATTTTTCAATGAAAAATTGTCTTAAAATAAAATAACTTTTTTAATTTCTCGTTGTTAAATTAGTTTAACTTGGAAGTGCTTTAATAACTAAATGACAGAAACACAACACAATTACTGAAACTTTAACTAAATTTAAAATGTAAATGGGAAATATAAAAATAAAACATTCAAAAACATAATATTATATCAATGCTACTAGAATAACACTGGTTAAATTTGTAAATCGTGGTGCATCATCACTTTTATAGACAAAAATCTCGCTTGAATGTAACCCCACATCCTAAATGGTTCAAATGACTTTGAAAAATAATTTATTTTAATTTTTTCTTACTCAGCTTCTTTATGATACTGTTAAGTAAGTACTGATAATGTTTCTGTGAACCATATAGATATGTATAAGTAGATGCCTTATTAGTGGCTGTTTCTATGTGCCGCTGTACGTAAGCTGTCTGCCATATTGGAGCAGCCAAAGCAGGTCCGTGAGCACTCGAGAGAATGTTGCCTGTGTGTCTGCAACCCTAGTTATTCGCATGTATGAATATCTATCTATATCTGCAATAGACGTAAGCGGATGATTTTGCTAAAGTAACACAATACAAGAAGACAAAGCCGTAAGCTAACACAACATTTAAAAGGTACTATAGTTTAAAAAGCTGTAATATTGTGTTAATACATATTAAAAACTCAAATCAACACATTCTTCAAAGTTTATCCAATTTCTTCAGGAATTTAAATTTCAGCGTTTTTTACAACCAGAGGTTGTGCAGTGTTGTGGCATCTTGAAACTCATTGATTTTTATTGTGGGTGATGACACATTGACCGTTCCAAGATGGAGGATGCGTCAACGTGTCTGGACTCTGGAGCGGTCGAATGTACCTTAAAATATCTATGCTGTAACCTCTGTCTAGCTAGCAATAAATCACACCCTAAAGTACACTCTTAAAAATAAAGGTGCTTCACGATGCCATAGAAGAACCTTTTTTGTCTAAATGGTTCCTTTAACATCTGAAGAACCTTTCTGTTTCACAAAAGGTTCTTTGTGGCGAAAGAAGGTTCTTCAGATTATAAAAAGGTAAGAAAGAGATGGTTCTTTAAAGAACCTTTGACTGAATGGTTCTTTGTGGAACCAAAAATGGTTCTTCTATGGCATCGCTTGAAGAACCTTTTGAAGCACCTTTATTTTTAAGAGTGTAGGGAATAAGTCACACCCTGCAATCAGTAAGATATTAACCTTCCAGTGTAGAAATAGAAACTAAACTGTTCACATAATCCATATTGTTGCTCTATATGTCTGAGATGGCAGATTTCAGTATTTCAGTGGCTGAGGACCAGTTCATCTGTCCAATTTGTCTGGATCTCTTGAAGGAACCTGTAACCGTCCCATGTGGACACAGTTACTGCATGAGCTGTATTACAGGCCACTGGAATCATGAAGATCAGAGGGGAATCTACAGCTGTCCACAGTGCAGAAAGTCCTTCATGCCGAGACCTGATTTAGGCAAGAATGTGATGATTGCTGAAATGGTGGAGAAAGTGAAGAAGACTGAGCCTCGAGATGCTGTTCCTGCTGGACCTGGAGACGTGAAGTGTGACGTCTGTACTGGGCGGAAAAACAAAGCATTCAAGTCTTGTCTAGTGTGTCTGAACTCTTACTGTCAAACTCATTTTGAGGAGTTTCATTCTGATAAACGACACAAAGTGATCGATGCCACTGGACGACTGAAGCAGATGATCTGCCAAAAACACGATAAGATTCTGGAGGTTTTCTGTTGCACTGACCAACAATTTATTTGTGTTCTGTGCACGATGGATGAACACAGATATCATGAGACTGTATCAGCTGCAGAAGAAAAGTCTAAGATGCAGGTATGAAGTGACATTGAAATTAAACTTATTGCTAAATAAGTTTATTTGCCCAGATCCCCTATTATAAATAAGGGGTAATATACAATTGACTTCAAGCCTATTTACAGGATTACTCACCAAATAAATATGTAGACATGACATTCTGTCGTCAATTACTTACCCTTCACTTTCAAACCTGAATGAGTTTCTTTATTCTGTTGAAAACTAAAGATATCTTGAAGAATGTTGGTAACCAAAAGTAGATGGTAGCCATTGACTTCCAATGTATTTTTTTTCTCCGTACTATGGAATCAATGGCTACCATCAACTGTTTGGTTACCAATATTCTTCAAAATTGTCTTTTATATTCAACAGAAGAAAGAAAATCATACAGGTCTGAAAGAGTAGGGTGAGTAAACAATCCCTTTAATGTGAGTTTAAATTTTTGCCATTATGTGATACTCCTCCCAAAAATGAATATTCTCTCATCATTTCCTCACCCTCATGCCATCCCAGATGTATATGACATTTTCTTCTGTGGCATACAAACGGAGATTTTTAGAAAAACAATCCATTTCTGTGATCCCATATATTGCAAGTGGAATGGACGCTCAAAATGATACTTCAAAACAAACATGATGTATATACCACCACATATGATTCTCAGGGAGGGGCTCTGATGAAGTTTCCTAAATGTTTTTTTCATTTGTAGGGGGTGTAATTTGTAGAGGTGTGGTTTGTAGTACTGTGGGATTCAGTCAGTTACTTGTTTCACTTCTTGGATCCCAGGATGAGCGTTGCCATTGACAATGCAGTATTAGGAAATACCCCAAATTCCTGAGGGCCTTTATTGAACTGCATGTAAACAAAACAGTGGCCTGTAACACATATTGCTAGTGAATGGAAACTACCTATAGGTAATAGATTTAGGTTATAAAAAACATTGTGGGAACATTGTTTTGAAATGTTTCTAAAACATTGAGATGTCCAGTTTTCTACCTGTGATTATAACATTATTTAAAGGTAATAAAAACTTCTCTCACAACATTCTACTAACTTTAATTTCACACAAAATATAACGTTATTTGAATGTTGAAATGTCCAGTTCTCTTTTTAAAGGGGTCATCGGATGCTACATGCACTTTTACAAGCTGTTTGAACTAAAATGTGTGTTGGCAGTGTGTGTACACAACCACCCTATAATGATAAAAATCCACCCAGTGTTTTTTTTTTTATCTGGTTAAATGTTTCCCCTTTCTCAAATCGAGCTGATCTCAGATGCCTGTCTGTGTGACGTCACAAAAACAGGCCCCTCCCACGATAGTTTGATTGACAGTAGCGTTTCAGCACAGACTGGACTGGCGTCTTACCTTAGCTCCGCCCCTGAGTGAGCTGTCATCAGTCCGCCATTGATGTAGACAAGAATGACTCCTAACAAGCGATTGAGGTGTTCTGTTGTTGGATGTAATAATGAACAGCAGTCATCATTTACTGCCGACATCTGAGCCGCTGAAGACAGTGGATTACGTTTGTTTTTGAAGGGAATGCGCCCCCGATCTACATAAATGTGTCTATGTTCGCGCAAATCATTCATGATCCAGCTTCACCTACAGAAGAAGTGAGTGTAATGTTTTGTAATGAATCTTTGCAAATCGCCTTTCCTAATAATGTGCTAATTAGCAAGTGTAGTGGCCAAAAAACTAACTAAAGCCGCAGGAGCTGAGTGAGGGAATAACTTGTGACACGTCAATCATCCTTTACATTTGCGTCTTGAGATTTATTTGTCCACCGACAACTTGTTCATTGAGGCATGCATTTCTTGAAGGATCGGCAGATTATCAATGTAAAAATTTGAATATATGGTCAACAAAAAAATGCGTGCTCCCGCACTCACCCCTTCTTTCCCTGACAACCCCCACTCACAACAGGTGTTTTAACTCTCAAATAATTAATGACACTCCCACATTTTCCCACAGTCACATGACATCACACATGAATATTTACATGGCTCCTATAGCAAGTTTCACGATGAATGTGGCTAAAGTAAACAGTCCCTCAGAGAGCGGCTCGGAAGAGAGGGGCGGGGTCAGCAGAGCTCATTAACATTTAAAGGGAAATGCTACAAAAACGGCTTGATCTGAAAAGAGCTGTTTTTGACAGGGTAAAAAAAGGTGTTTTTTACACTACCATTGAGAAATTTTAACCAAACTATGTTACAGACTTTTCATTAAGACCCTAAAGAATCATATCAACTTGTGGAAAATGGGCATCATATGACCCCTTTAAAACATAATTTAAAGGTCACATTTCGTAAAACATTGTAGTCATTTTAAAGAAATAACATTATTTAAACATTTATTTTTAATATTCTAAGAATGTTAAAATGTCCAGTTTTCATGTAGTGGTTATAACGTTATTTAAAGGTTACAAAAATTTTTCTCAGAACGCTCATCGAGTACAAATAACGTCATACGGATGTTTTCTCTCAACATGAGATTGTATATCAAATATCAAAAGTTATAATAATGTTCCATAAACGTTACTTTAAGAACATTTTGTTATATAACTTTGAAGATAATCTTTCCATATTTTTTCCAATCACAATGTGAGTGCTACAGCCTACTCGATTTTAAAACGGATTTCAAATTCAGTCATTTATGTAATGATGTGGTGATATTCTGTGTCTATTTTGTTACATACGTTTCTGTGGTCATTTGTTTATCTGACAGGGTCTTTTGAGAGAGATGCAGAGAACAGTCCAGCAGAGAATCCAGAAGAAAGAGATGAAGCATCAGGAACTGAGAGAGGCTGTGGAGTCTCAAAAGGTGAGTTTGCAGAAGGAGAACAACTGTTGACTGTTTAAAAGACGTTTGAGAGCCTCTTCCTCTGCTGAAGAACTTTCTCACTGATTGTGATTTGTGTCCTAACAGCGATCTGCACAGGCGGCAGTGGAGGACAGTGAGAAGATCTTCTCTGATCTCATTCGCTCCATTGAGAAAAGCCGCTCTGAGGTGACAAAGCTGATCAGAGCTCAGGAAAGAGCTTCAGTGAGTCGAGCTGAAGAACGACTGGAGCAACTCAAGCAGGAGATCACGGATCTGAGGAGGAATGAGGCTGAACTGGAGCAGCTTTCAGACACGGATGATCACATCCGTTTGCTCCAGGTAACGGAATCGAATTTGGGTCATGGCAGTCATTATTATGAATTATGTTGTTAGATAGAAAAGCTCTGAGGTGATTCTTCAGATTGGGGACTTTTCATTTTTGGGTGAAGTATTTCTGTTTTATCTGTTGCTTGTCTGTGTAGAGTTTCCAGTCTCTCTCTCTCTCTGGATCTACAAAATTACCCAGAATCATCATCAGTTCTGTCCTCTCTTTTGACGATGTCAGGAAATCTGTCTCTAAACTCAGAGACCAACTAATCCAATACTGCAGAGAGCAGATAGACAACATATCTGGTACAGGTAAATTATCAGACATTCATCTATTCATTGATGTTCATACAGCATTAATGGTTTAGTATACATTTTTCTCTCAACGTGAGAATTAAACATCAGATGTCTTTTGGTTTTCTTACAGTGAAACACATTCAGATCATTCTTGGCCCTGATTTTGAGACCAGAGTGGAATACTTGGGATGTAAGTTTAACTCTTGAAATCCTAATGGGAATTTCTGAAACCCTTGGATCTTAAATACAGGTATATCTAATAAAAACAAGATTATCTGCTTATATTTTTTTTAGATTTCCATCAGTTCACTTTGGATCCAAACACGACTAATAAAAACATCAGTCTGTCTGATAAGAGCAGGACGATTACTAGCACTCATATAGACCAGCCGTATCCTGATCATCAGGACAGATTTGTTTCTGTAGTTCAGGTGTTGTGTAGAGAGAGTGTGTCTGGACGCTGTTACTGGGAAGTTGACTACGGTCAGAGTGAACGTTTGGGTGTATCGGTGTCCTATAAGAGCATCAGTAGGAAGGGACGTGGCAATGAGTGTAAGTTTGGACATAATAATCAGTCCTGGATATTGTTGTGTTCTCCCCCCAAATACATATCCCTGCACAATAACATAAAGACTAAACTCATCGTAGCATCAAGCTCCTCTAGAATAGGAGTGTATGTGGATCACCGTGCAGGAATTCTGTCCTTCTACAGCGTCTCAGACACAATTACCCTCATTCATAAAGTCCAGATCACATTCACACAACCTCTCTATCCTGGGTTCTCACTGGGCAGCAATGCAACAGTGAAACTATGTAATGTCAAAACATAAATTATACAGATATCCAATCAATAACACTGACATATGTTAATGTACCATTGGAAATCAGTAGGCCTACTTGTGAGATTGGTTATTGGTCTGTTTTAATGCCAAAGGTAAATATTACAGCTGAACTATTATAACTTAGGATGTATGCAAATATTTTTTGTAGTTTGAATCCAAACCAATAATTAATTTAGAAAAAAGTGTAATTTTACCTTAAATCTTATTCATTTTGTTTCATAAAATTCAATCTTCTGTTGATATTTTATGTAGCCTAACTCTTGTTTATTTTTGTCCCATGTCAGCTTCTTGCAGGGTTGATTTTATGTTTAAAATGTCCTCATTTATTCACTGATGTGCTTTGGGTAAAGTGGGTTTAATTCATTGGTATTTTAGCACATTCCTACGGTGGCAGAGAAGTGCAAAGCAAATCACAATTGTGCACTTCTCGGTCACCGTACATTCCTCTATCTTAAAACAGTTCAAGTAATATTTAAAAGTTTGACTGAGCGCGCACTTCACGAAGGAGCAAAAACCATTATAATCTGGCGCGAGCAGCGGCAGTCTCACAGGTTTTCTGGGGTAAGGTACTTTTACTTCACAAATATTAAGGAAAGTTCTGAAAGAAGTCTGGGAGAACAATGTAATTAATATTAAGGTAAGATGTGGGTTAAAATATGTAAGGGATAATGTACATCCAGCCGGTTGTTATCTCAGAATAAACCCCGACAGGGTGATCAGGATCTTGTATCAGCCTGAACCGCTTATTACACGGCTACTTGCCACATAAGTAAATAATTAGACGCGCAATATTGATTTGAGTTGAAATATTTGAACGCAAGACAGCAGTTGCGAGCAAGCGACAAATTCAAACTTTTGGACATTTAAGGGAAACGGTGCAGTCAAACCACTTATTACACAACATTTCACTACAAAAATAATTAAGGCAATAAAAGAATTAAGACGAAAATGTTTTAAAACTTTACCAGTTTGTTAGTTCTCTTATAATCCATTACAGCGTACAAAACATTCGTAGCAAAATGGCAGCAGCTGCGTTTGTATGAAACCAGAGCGAGTCCACTATACCAGGATGACATAATTAAATAATTGTACACCATTTTGAATCGAGTTTTAATATTTTATTAGCTAAACAAACGCAAAGCGTCCACCAAGAAAAAATACGACTGCTGTTACCCGGATGAGCGTGTGTTATTAGCGTTTACCGGTTGTTATCGAGGGATAGCATACCTCGGAATGTCGCAACTGACCAATCAGAATCAAGTATTCCACAGAGCCGTGTAATAGACCAATTATCGGTTTGTAAAGATTCAGGATGCGCGCGCATCATGGTTGCAGAAAACCCGGGAGAGATAGCCTTTACAGCTAGAGAATTTCACGGATACGGTACAACATAGTTAGGTTTAAAAAGATTATAAATTATATTGATTAGATGTCATTTTCCAAATGTTCCAAAAGAGCTTGTCACCCAACGATAAGCACTGTTATTCAACGAAATTGACGTTAGAGAGTGCGATAGTCTTACAGATCCGAAACAGGGGTGACGATTTTTCTGGGCGGAGCCTATCTGGAGGCAGAAAATCGGCAGTCTATGGAGCCATGGAATAAAAGAATAAAAAAAGGTCAATTTGATTTTATATTTCAAAATTCTGACTTTATTCTCGCAATTCCGAGATTATATCTCACAATTCTAATAAGGAAAAACAACTCGTCATTCTCTCTTTTCCCCTCGGCTCTTCTGGCTTTTTTCCCTCAGATTTGACAAACTCACTATTTTTGAGTTAAGTCGAGTTATAAAGTTCGAATTAGGAGATATAAACTTGCATTTGCGAGAAAAAAAAAGTCAGAATTGTGAGATAAAGTAAATAAATGTTATGTAAAAATGTTAATAGTAAGGTTTAAATAATATTTCATGCTGTAACTGTAGGGCTAATACAATATGTCCCCTATGAACAGCATATGTGAATATTATGTAGACCTATTGTTTAAATCGAATTTATGCTTTAAAAGTAGAGTAATCATAGCAGTTTTCATCCATAGTATGTCCATTTAAACCTCTGCGTTTAGCTTCAAATGACGACAGTATTCTATAAAAATTATTTGCATTCCGATCTTGACATCAAAAGGCACAAAATATTTTACCCATTTATCTCCACTTGTTCCCAGTGTTTTTCTGCAACCACTATGCGCGCGCAGCTGCAAGTGACGTAACTGTGACGTCTACTCTAAATTGGTCTATGGAATTAAAACATACAGCTCTGGTGAAGTCGATTCTTAAACGGTTAATATGAAACATTAGCCTACTTGTAAAAAGACAAACATGCTAATCATATGGCAGTTTCTTCTATACAAGGATATACAAAAACGAATGAAACTAGAGCTCAGTAAAGTAGCAACAAAGCACTGCGAGAATTATAAATTAACCGCGAGTCGTTCAGGAAGGAAGGACTAAAAAGATTCATTAAATGGATTTTACTAGCGTCATACGATCTTTTTATTGCGTTATTAAACACATTATAGTATCGGCAAAATCCGTAAATAATTAGACGCGCAATATTGATTTGAGTTGAAATATTTGAACGCAAGACAGCAGTTGCGAGCAAGCGACAAATTCAAACTTTTGGACATTTAAGGGAAACGGTGCAGTCAAACCACTTATTACACAACATTTCACTACAAAAATAATTAAGGCAATAAAAGAATTAAGACGAAAATGTTTTAAAACTTTACCAGTTTGTTAGTTCTCTTATAATCCATTACAGCGTACAAAACATTCGTAGCAAAGTTGCAGCAGCTGCGTTTGTATGAAACCAGAGCGAGTCCACTATACCAGGATGACATAATTAAATAATTGTACACCATTTTGAATCGAGTTTTAATATTTTATTAGCTAAACAAACGCAAAGCGTCCACCAAGAAAAAATACGACTGCTGTTACCCGGATGAGCGTGTGTTATTAGCGTTTACCGGTTGTTATCGAGGGATAGCATACCTCGGAATGTCGCAACTGACCAATCAGAATCAAGTATTCCACAGAGCCGTGTAATAGACCAATTATCGGTTTGTAAAGATTCAGGATGCGCGCGCATCATGGTTGCAGAAAACCCGGGAGAGATAGCCTTTACAGCTAGAGAATTTCACGGATACGGTACAACATAGTTAGGTTTAAAAAGATTATAAATTATATTGATTAGATGTCATTTTCCAAATGTTCCAAAAGAGCTTGTCACCCAACGATAAGCACTGTTATTCAACGAAATTGACGTTAGAGAGTGCGATAGTCTTACAGATCCGAAACAGGGGTGACGATTTTTCTGGGCGGAGCCTATCTGGAGGCAGAAAATCGGCAGTCTATGGAGCCATGGAATAAAAGAATAAAAAAAGGTCAATTTGATTTTATATTTCAAAATTCTGACTTTATTCTCGCAATTCCGAGATTATATCTCACAATTCTAATAAGGAAAAACAACTCATCATTCTCTCTTTTCCCCTGGGCTCTTCTGGGAATTAAAACATACAGCTCTGGTGAAGTCGATTCTTAAACGGTTAATATGAAACATTAGCCTACTTGTAAAAAGACAAACATGCTAATCATATGGCAGTTTCTTCTATACAAGGATATACAAAAACGAATGAAACTAGAGCTCAGTAAAGTAGCAACAAAGCACTGCGAGAATTATAAATTAACCGCGAGTCGTTCAGGAAGGAAGGACTAAAAAGATTCATTAAATGGATTTTACTAGCGTCATACGATCTTTTTATTGCGTTATTAAACACATTATAGTATCGGCAAAATCCAATATCGATCGACCACTAATTCGTGTATGAGAATTAGTAGGCTACATAACCATACATTTTTGTTAACCTGTTTAATAGTGTAATAACTGTTTAATGTGTGTCATAGCCTCTTTAATTGAGTACAGGAATCTGAAATTGTAGTGTTTTGTTCTGTATAGACATAACTGCAGGTCTTTAAATGGTCTTGAAAAGTCTTAAAAGGGTCATATGATGCGATTTCAAGTTTTCCTTTCTCTTTGGAGTGTTACAAGCTGATTGTGCATAGATAAGATCCCTGAAGTTGCAAAGACTAAAGTCTCAAAACCAAAGAGATATTCTTTATCAAAGTTAAGACTCTGCCACACCTCCATAAAATAGCTCATTATTTGACTTTAAAAAAATTCTGCACATACCCTGTTGAAGTTTTGACATTACCATCGTGACCACAAAGTGGTGCAGTTGGTCAATTTTCGTAGCTATTGCTCATTTAACGTAATTGCTAAAAACGGGTTTCCTGCACCACTATGCAACAAATATCACAATTAGTGCAGCAGTAATTGAAGATAACAATAAACGTCTCGCTTTTAGTACATCAGAAATCTATTTAAAATGCTTGTGGCTGAATGCAGAAAAAAGTGAGATCTCCATTTATGTAAATCTTTGTTAAAGCCCCATGATTCTAATTCCAAAAAAATGTATCCACTTAATATTCTGCTGTTTAATATTTAAAATATTTTGCAGACATTTGATGTAAGATTACTAAGTATCCTATAATAATGTTTTTTTAATTAAATACCAGCAGATGGTCTTGCTTATAATAAAATAGTAGGGATGTTAGTCAGTTTATATTATAAGTGCTAAATTCAATTCAAGCACATGACTTTACTTTGACAGCACACACACACAAACAGAACATCTAATTGTTATAATTGTTTCAGAATATTTTGAAAAGAGAAACAATGTCTATAAAGCAAACGGTCTTTAATGTTGTCGAAATTTGACAATACCGTGCAGGTCATGACAGACAATAACGTTCAATACTGGACTTGCACTGACCTAGTGCATGTAAGAAAGTAAAGCTGTAGAATTGCACATGGCATTCCCATGATGCATCTGCCAGCTCACAGTCCTGAATAAACATGCCGAAAGTTCACTACCTCGCTGGCATTGGGTGTATTTCAATATGAACAGACAATCTGATCAGAACTGAAGCA